ATTTATCCTAGATATTTATTCTCTTAGATGCTATTATAAATGGAGTTGTTTTCTTAATCTCCTTTTCAGATGTCTCATTGCTGGTGTTTAGAAACCCAACTTATTTTTGTGTGTTGGCCTTGTATTCTGCAACTTTGTTAAATTCCTCTACTAGTTCTAGAAGCTTTTTAGTAGATTCTTTGGAATTTTCTATATATAGGATCATATCATTTGCTAATATAGTTTTACCTTTTCCTTTCCAAGTTAGATACGTTTTCTTTCTTTTTCTTGCCTTATTGCTCTGGCTAGGACTTTTAGTACAATATTGAATAAGAGTGGTGAGAGTGGACATCCTTGTCTTGCTCCCATTTTCAAGAAAGTTCTCAGTCTTTCTCCATTGAGTATAATGTTGGCTGTTGATTTTTTATAAATGTCCTTAATCATGTTGAGGAACTTCCCTTTTATTCCTATCTTGGGAAGAGTTTTTATCGAGAAAGGGTGCTGGATTTTATTGAATGCTTTTTCTGGGTTGATCGAAATGATTGTGTGGTTCTTTTTATTTGTTTCATTAATGAGACGTATTACATTGACTAATTTTCTAATGTTGAACCAATTTTGCATTCCTGCAAAAAATCCCACTTGATCTTGCTGTATAATTCTTTCAGTATGCTGTTGGATTCTGTTTGTTGAGAAGTTTGGCATCTATGTGCATAAGGGATATTGGTCTGTAGTTTTCTTTTGGTGTCTTTGGCTGGCTGTGGTACGAGGGTAATGCTGGCTTTATAGAAATAGTTAGGAAGTATTCCTTTTTCCTCTACATTTTGAAAGAGTTTGAACAGGATTGGTATCAGTTCTTCTCTAAATGTTGGATAGAATTCTCCAGTGAAGCCATCTGGTCCCGAACTTTCTTTGTTGGGAGGCTTTTTGTTACTCAATCAATCTCTTTGTTTATTATGAGTCTGTTGTGGTTTTCTACTTCCTTTTGAGTCAGGTTAGGTAGGTTATGTGCATCTAGGAATTTGTCCATTTTATCAGAGTTATCAATTTTGTTGGAGTATAGTCATTCACAGTATTCTGTTATGTTCCTCTTTGCCCATTTTTTGATTGGATTGTTTGTCTTTTTGTGGCATATATAATTCTGAATTGACTTTTTTTCCTTCCTAACACTTCAGAGTGACTTTAAATATACATTGTTTTTTATGAGAAGTCGGCTGTCTAATTGTACTTAATGTTCCCCCTCCTACCTTCCCGGTTTGAATATTTTATCTTTATTTTGGTTTTTCAGCTGTTTGACTGTGATCTGTGTAGGTATTCTTTGTGTTTAGCCTGCACGAGTTTTGCTGAACTTTCTCACCTGTGGATTTCTGTTTCTGATCAAATAAAAAATTTCAGACAATATTTTGTTAATTTTTTTTGCCCCATTCTTTTTCTGTAGCTCCTTTAACATATTTATCCTAGTTACATTGAAGTCCTTCTTCCTAATTTCAACATATGGATCGTCTGTGAGTCATATTTTCCTGTTCAGATCTCTGGTAAGTTTTGAGTTTATAATGGACATTGTGGACGATCTATGATGAAAAAGCTCTGGATTATCTTCCTTGGACAGTGTTGAGCTTTGTTCTAGGAGCAGTCAAATTAACATTGAATAACTTTGAACTTGTAATGGTAGATTTATTTCAGCTTTGCTCTTATTCCTAGGGGAAATTCTAGTCTTAGCAGGTGGTCCTTACTCCTTAGGTGGGATTCTTCTGAAGTTTCATTGGAAGATCTGAGGTGTTAGCCAGGCCACTCTAACTTGCTGCAGCTTGAGCCTCCAGCTGTGGGTAGTGAAGTGGCAGCTCCTGGAACAGCAGCTCAGGGCTGGCTGGCTGACTGGCCAAGGCTTTGAATGAGGCCAGTCAAGTTCCTTGTGTGTACTGGGCTGGAAGGAGAGTGTGTGAATCCGTGGGGCCAAGTTATAATTTAGGGTTACCAACCTCAAGTTCTAATATGTGGGAAATTAACAGGGGAAATGCTCTGAGAAGTATAATACTCATTATGAGATCTTTTTCTCTTAGCTGAGGTCAGATTCATGTCATTGTTTATAACTAAAAGCTTCAACACCCCC